TTCTTATATTTCAACGAGTTTTTATTTTACATCTTTACTTAAAAGTATGAAAATAATTTATTTAATAAAACAAATAAAATCTTATATTTCAACGAGTATGAAAATAATTTATTTAATAAAACAAAAATTTTATTTTAAATTTTAATATTAGCCATCCATCAGCTTCATATATAATTTGTAATAATAATAATGGCGATAGGTTATATCATTGACTGTTATTTTTAATTCGGTCTTTACATAATCCGACAGCATACTGTGTATTATTTGTTTATACTGTAAATGCAATAAGATTCCTATCAAAAAATTTAAATTGACTCAAATCAATTATTTGAGAATTACTAAAAAAATTATTTGTTTACAAATTTAATTTCTTTATAATGTAAAAATACAACCGAATGCTATTACTAATAACGAAGTACAATATACATATATCGGGTATTGTTTTCGCAATAATAATAATAATAATAATATAATAATAATAATAATAAATAATAATAATAATTAATATTAATAATAATAATGAAATCGATAGTTTCACATCAGAACGCTTAAATATTCTAGCATATTAAACTTACTTCCTATCTCATGAACAAAACCTTAAATGCATTAACAACAACATATATTGCTAATACAATTAATGTATTAACGATAATATAAATAAAAGGTTTCGGGCGGCTAGATGATAATCAACAATGTTATTTTCCAAATCTCGAGTAATTTGTGTTTGTGTAATATCATTAACACGTGATGGGACAGAGTAAACAACATAGCGTATGTGCTCGGCCATCGATACTATACCTGTTTCGTGCACAGAAATATCATGTGTCACATCTTACGCGGCGATTGGAAATTCGGGAAGGATACGCGTCATAACAGATCGCTCCATGCGTCACATTTCTCACTCATGTTTTCAGTGAATACAACATCATGGTAAAAGAGAGAAAGAAAACGCACAGTTATCCCACGTAACGCGGATGCGCAGATTACACGTGATCTTGCCGAAGAAAAGAAAATCGTAAAGGAGACCCAAGGACGAATAAATGAGTCCAAAAGGGAGACAAAAGAGAAAGAAAGAGAGAAAGAGAGAAAGAAAAAGCAAAGAACAGGCAAAGGGGTAGTGGCACAGCCGAGTACCATCACACAAATAAGTATTGTCAATAACTCCAAATCACGAAACTAACTTGCATCTGCATGTATAATGAGAAAAGTTCGGTTTCCCTTTTTATTTCGCCATTCATTCCGGTTACACCCCATCGGTGTTAAGATCGCAATGGGCAGTTTGATCGAACGCACCGTGGAGGCACCACGGTAAACGTACGTGCCTGACATCTCCGTGATGCAAACATACAAAAGATTTCTCATACCATTCATCACTTCACATAGATCTGTCCATGCATTATCATTACGTGATAAGTGACAGATGAGAGGGTGAATTCAAATGGATGAATAACGGACCAGGTTTTATATTTGTGATGATGTTTATATGGACGATGGTCATTGGTTAAGACGCAAAACACCAACAACCAGTAAAGAACCAGTTTTATTTTTCGGACGAAGAGGCGTATCTTAATCAGGTGATGCAAAAAATTCTTGACTTCAAAGGATGACAGAGATTGGTCTGATGGTATAAGGTTGGAATAATCAATGAAGGATGAATTAACAATGAAGCGGTTCTTGTTCTTGAGACCTACAGTATAACCGCTTGAAGTAATAACTCTGGCGACGAAGTTGTACGGCACGCACGCATCTTCCACCATCCAATAAAGACGTTGCGCATTTTCAAAGTGAATTTCGCCATGATCAAAGATTTCATCAAATATTGCCTCGTCAATGAAGAACAGATAAAGATGCGATCGTCATGTTTTCCTTTCTTTCCGGTATTTACTGAACACGTATTTGCCATTTTCGATTCCTCACCTCGAGTCCATCCACTTTATCGTCCGGACAGGACAGTACAGCGCATGTATGATAATTAATCACGTACAGGACATAGTGATTACGTAACCATTTTGCGTATTGCGTGCTACTAGAAAATGTTACACGATCAAGAAATGACATTGATCGGATTCTCCCCTATAGCATGATTTTGTATTTTTATACTGTACGCATGTGATGGATTTCACCTTTAAGCATCTTAACTCGATCGTGTTGTGTGTGTGTGGAGTAGTCCTCTGTACGAATTTTGTTCCTCATCATTTCATTTTCACTTTTTTATTGATATTTATCATCACATCACATCAATATTTGCCAATCAATCACCATAGTAATCTCAATATTAAGTAATCACCAACGAAAGAATGGTTTGTGTAATCATTGATTTATAATCGTCAAACTTATTCGAATAAAAAATATTTCGTTTTCATAAACTCCGTCGTATCACTTTTCCTTCATTCACACACGCACGCACGCACACGTACGCGCACCACACGCAACCACACCCCATCACAAGCAATTATTTCATCATCCATCACGACCACTCTATCACCGGCACTCTCATACACGCATGTAATGTATTAATGTGGAAACTTTTTTTATACTAAACGCTGGTTATATGAAACGCACGCAATATATGAGGTTAGCATAAATATTTAGAGTTATATGCGCACGGATTTAAATATCGCCCCGCATAATGTGCGTACGCACGCATAGTCGAGTATGGTCTAGCATATATTCTATTTATGATGTAAATATAATGTATGCGTGTATTCTACGTATGTACGTTTTTGGATTTCATTGCCCATACCTCTGTGTTTAGGCCTAGAGTGCGTAAATGCGTGCCGTATCTTGAGGAAATCTGGGTCAAGGGTTGCACACGCCATTTATTATTATCTCACTTGAGATCTGGGGTGCCAACATTTCATTAATCGTTCCGAATCTAATGCACCTCGAATATGATGACCCCTTAAAAAGCCAGAAAAGGTTCCTATGACGAAGTCAAAAGAACCCCCTTCCCATATTCGACAGAGCAATGGATCATCTCTTTCACATGTTTGTTTATTTCAAAGCGGGTTTTACCGTCTGCCTTTGGTGATTCCTCGCATCTTCCGTATTACAGCAGATGACCGATAAACAATGTATACAATCTTGGGTAGCTCAATGATTGTTTGCATTCGATTCATCGTTAGGACACTTTGGTATTTCGCTCCAAGATTTTTTTACGTTACACCATCGGGAGAAGGTTCTGGGTGAGAACGAGGTTTTAAGGTAAGTTTTTAATTTCGTTCGTTCATTCATTCCAACCGCACTGCGAGATGGACGCACCATTTCCGTGCTTGCGGTCGAAGGAGATGACTTGCGACACAAGAGGAAAAAAGAAGCTGGTGCGTAGAGCGTTGAGGTTGAATCGCGAATTAACAACGGTGTTCATGATATTCACGACCCACATTCAACCCATCCCTTCTCTTCATTGTCCACATGCGCCACGAGCGCACACCTGGTGGCAACCTTCTGTTAGTTAGCCTTAACCGCGATTCCTTTCACCGTAAATCATCATCTTTATTGGACGATCGATCCCATCGGGCGCTATTCATCACGCGCACGCAAGTATTCCTGGTAGTGGGATGACGAGTGGGATGACGAGTGGAATGAAGAAGATTAGCCTGAACCGACAACAAACAAATGGATGAATGGGTAAGTTGGGAAAAAGAAAAAAAAAAAAAAAACAAAACAAAACAAAACCCCCCACTTCCTAAATTTCCGGAGCCAAATGAAAAGGTTTACCAGAGCTAACCCACATGCGCCATAGTTCCGTGATACAAAAACATTGTATTCTAAAAAAAAAATGCTGATAATGCCGATCATAAAACAAACAATCCACCAATTCAAACTAGCTATCTGAAAATTACACCGAAATGAAACATTGGGATCACATCTTAACTTTAAACCTTACCCGCCCGCATTAGAGTCCGTCGGTCGTATAAATGCCTACTTTACCTAAGCAACACGCAGTAGTAGTCGCATACAAATTTCTCGCGCGCATCCCCACCCTTCTATTCACAAGTGCTCAATTCGAAATAGAATTTGTGGTGAGTATAACAAGAAGGGCGGAAAAACTCGCTCTAATCGATTTCCTATGAGTCGTTACACATCCACCTATACAAAACCGACGATGTCATTGTCCAACTTACTTACCCTCTCCAGCTCTCGAACACAGAATTGATCATACTGTACGTGTTCTGCGATGATTGGGTTTGGGTATTGGATGCAACAACGACGACAATTAGGTCTTGGGATTACCATGGCGTACAGGTAAAAAGGATGTTAATGGCACACGAGTGTATGTGGTGTGGTGGTGGTGTCCGTACACACCTACGCACCCGAGCGATACCAGGAGTGAACCTTTTTTGTTCATCTATTCGTTTGTTCCGCGATCTGCGTTTGATATTTTTCCGTGCACTCCGTTGAACCTAACAAGCACTGTATACTTCCAATGCGTGTGTGATTGTGGTGACTATTCGAAAACACAATTTTTTCATTTTGTCGGTTAATAAGGACCTGGTAACATTTATCACACGACAAACATACAACCACCCTCATTCGGCAGACAAATGGATATTATCAACATTATCTAAGAAAATTTCTCTGCACACCCCTACCCCTTTGCAACCCAACCCAATCGGCAAACCCTCCATACTCCTTAAACCACCGCCACCACCCGTTCGTTAATACAACTGTAAGGAACCTCCTTAAAACTTATAAATCATTAGTCATCATTCATGCGTTCGAGGTCCCGGCTGTCATTCATGCATGCACGGATTCAAGTGTTATCATTAATTGCTTACCATACAATCCTATACTAGATCATTTCAAACTTGCATATATGTATTTATTCGGAATTGAACCTGAATACTCTCGGTGACCGAAACCTGATCTTCACCTTCACACTCCTCACCTCCTCCCCGCATACCCACCCTCGCTCCTTTCACCTCAATATCGGGACACACGTCTCACCATTTCCTCCAACAATCACATCCCTCACATCTTATCCCATTCCATCATTCTCACCGTCCGTCTGGCATTTGGCAAAAGGGTGTTCGCCTGCGACCACGCTGCCACGAGGAACCCCTTGCTTCCTCTTCATTGTTGCGATTCCAACGTCTTTCGATGATTTCCTTCGGATTCTCCATCTGTCGACGTGAGCCTTGTTTGTTAATGTTCGCCTAGTTGACCCGAAAAAACGGTTCTCATTCGTGCTTGCGAGGGGAAGGGCATACTCGACTACGGTTGATGGTGGTATACTGCGTAGACACCTTTTGCCCGACGAAGGAATGAAGGTGAAATGATCACGTGGAGGTGTCCGCCAAACAGTGAACGAAAAGATTATGGATGAACAAGGAGAGAACATTTCAGCACGGTTTTGGAAATTCGCTTCAATCAGTTCCCGAATTTGCAACTTCTAAAGATATTAAAAGCGCGGGTAACGTGTGATGAGGTGTGATGTGACGCGATCAATGGACATTAGAATCCGTATGTGGTTAGTGGCGTCTCGTTCTCAATTGTTTCATCAAGTGTTCGAATGTAACTTTATCAATAATGAACATTACCAACCAACCATCACAATAGTAAGACGCTTTCACGGGCGCCATCTTTAGCTCGAAAGTTCCCATTGTTAGGTGTCGGGCAGGCTGATGAAGTAATGGCCGTGCCGTGAACAATTGCAATGCGAACGTAACCGATAGTCGCGATCACCCCACATATTTTAAGTAACAAACAATTGCATCTTTATCATGAACAATTGACGATTGTGATAGTATGCGTCAGATTGTTTTAAAAATTTCTTGCGCCGATTATATCAACAGGTGATTACGCAACAATGCTTCGACACGCAAGAAATCCTTTCCGCAAAAGTTCGTCAATAAACAGCCACGCGAGCGTTAAAAGCATATTTGTAACCGGACACTGTGATCAATGTTTATCTCGTTCATTGTCCACGAAGCTACGCATGTGAAAGAAGAATCGCGTTTCCCTAACTCGACAATAATAAAAAAAAAATTAAGGTCGCAAAATGGTGGCGCCGAGCCACCACCCTCCCAAACATTTTTTTTTTTTTCTTGTCGCACATTCATTTCCAATTCGAGATCTAAATATCATTGTGTGTGAGAGATTCGCGCTCATTGCTTGACGAAGGTGGATCAAAGAAAGGCGTTTCACGCAAACAAACAATCTCCACGTGTTGATTACGTATGGTCCGTAGCTCATATTATTGTTGTAAAAACGGTGCATGCGCTACACGTGATGCGTGATAATCATGAATGAACACGTGATGCCGTACATGCGATGACCCGGGTCCGGATGGTGTTCCCGCCTTCATCGTCATGCTACAGAATGCAGCTCATTCGAGATTCTCGCACGGCATCCAATCATCCGCATGACGAGCGTGAATAAGAAATGGAAGAATGAAAGGAGAATGAAAACAGAAGACAAAATGAATGGGATGACGGGTATATTTTCATGACGAGCGTGAACGAAAATGAGAATTAAGAAGTGAGAATGAAAAGGAAAAAAAAAAAAAAAAAAAGACGGGGTAACGGTGTGGCCACTCGGTAAATTCCGAAAATAATCCCGAGGGAATTTCATTCTGATGCAAAGGTGATTCCGTGCATCCCTGCAAAACTTTCAAAAATTGCTACTCACATTAATTATATGCTCCCACGGAAAAATGCCGATTACTTGGGTTTTGCATTATTTTAGGGAAATCTGCAGGCATTCAATGTTTTTCGGCTGTAATGGAAATATCATTTCCCAATAATAACAATACAATCGTTCATATTGATTGATGGAATTCATAATGGTTACCGCATCTGTGACCCATTGAATTGAAGTAAGAAAAGCAATGTCGCCTTTAACGTGTGGCCATTGGGAATGGGAATGACGAGACCGACGATCCACGCACCCTCTTCCCTGACCCTTTCCCATAACGGTAAAACTTGGCATGCCTCCAAGACGAGGGATTTTGATCACGCACACACGAAGGGAGGGTTCACCGGGGGGGCGTGAGTGCCGGAAGGGGAAGGAGCGGCTGAATCAAGAGCTGTGAGAGGCTCGATGCGCCACGGATTACTATGATCGGCAATGATGGCATTTAAGTTTTGTAATCGATCGATTGTTTGTGCGTATTTTAATTTTAATTTTAATTTTTTTTTTTCTTTCCACAGTAGACGGCTGTATTATAAAGCACAATCATCGTTGAAAGCCTATATTCGCTTTTGAGACATGAAAATAAAATGATAATAGCCTGTGTCCTCACGCTAGAACATTGGGGGATAGAGAATGACGACAATTTTGGCATTATGGGACGGTTAATGTGAATTTGTAATTTGCGCAACTCGGTACAACGCAGAGTCTACCCTTTTGTTCTCTAGGTTCAAGGCCAACTACTTATCTTCTAAATTTATCATTGAGAACGCCTTTCTATTTGAGGTTTCACCCGTGCATAGGATAAAAAAATTTTTTTCCTATACTCGTCATTTATTTGAACTTTGATTTGGATTTAGTATTGTGGATGTAAGAATGCGTCACAATTGTTTTTCGTCACTGGACGACGTTGTTTGGAACAATGAGGACAAGAAAAGACAAAAGAAAGAAATAGAATCGTTAACCTCGGTCACCGTCCATTGGGTCATGCTGTGAAAAGGAAAAAAGAACTCCGAGTAAACGGAAATAAACATTTTTTGGAAATCTGTTACCTGATCATCTATGCGTCGCGTGGAGCGAGTTTCCTCTTTCTCAGACATTGGTGCTCCGATGTCAACCTCTTTTTGACACCTGGTGACCGGGGAGGTTTGCGAGTGGTAGATTCCCTCTTCGTCAATAATTGGTGTTTTACGATTGTTCTTTCAAAAACTTCTTTAAATAGGTCCTCTTTTTGAGTATCATGTTATTGGTGTGCAGAACATCCATCCCCTCTTCCCCTTGTAACTCAATCAACGATTGTTTGTTGTCATTTGTTTTTTGAATCAATCTCTCCAAAGCATTTGTTATTTCCCGATTTCAAAAAGGCGCGATCTAAATAACTGCTCATTCGTTGTTCCGCCTTTTACTGGTATCGTGACGTTCGTTGTGCAAGGAAAGGCGGGATTTTGTTCCGAAGACCTGCTGTATGCATCAATCAAATTACACACTCTAATTCGCGATTCGTGCATTAGCGTTCCGATAAGGTTTTTTTCAAAACCATATTTAATCAGAGTCCATTGAGATTGACCCGTTCCATTCTATATTAAGTCTCGTAAAGTTGATTTCAGAAACTTGATTCATACTTGATAAAGGTTTGATGTTTATTCATCGGTGATAAATATATCCCTTTCCTAAAACGTATCGGGCGTGCGTTCATGACGATGATGATGGTGAAATAAAGATTTGATGGATGACACGATATCCCCATCACCCAGTTGAAAAGAATGTGATGAAGCCTGCCAAAATTGTACCCAATCGGTAAGATGTTCCGCCTTTGAGACGTGAGTCGGTCACCTGCCTTGAATTTGAACGGACGTGAGAAAAAAAAAAAAGAAAGGAAAAAAAGAAAAAGAGGGAAATGGTAACCGGTTATTTCGAGGTCAGAGGATTGTGCTCGTGCGTGTGTGCACGTGCTTTCACCTCGACGTTTCCTCCTGGGCTTTCCCACGTACAACGCAGGAATAAAGAAATGCCCGAAGGCGGGTTGCAAATAATTACGGATGGATGATACGTGTTCAACACTTGTTATTGCCCACCGCCATCACTACTGTAAGATAAATGTGAATATCCTTCATACGTCTTTCATCTCACTTTTTTTTTTTTTTTTTTTCCAAGGCGTCCTCTCAATTCACACACATGTCACATTCATCCCCCGATTATCGATCGCTGTTTACACAACAATTGATGATATTTTCGAAGTATCAGCACGCACGCACAAAGATTACGGAATCGGCGTTTTTTCCCCATGGAACGATAATTGTGAGTGGTGCCAGATGTTCCATATTACCTATCTGATCCATGCTGAAAGATCGAATGATTCATATGTCACGATGATTTCAAAATAACAAATAATGAGAATACGATATGAATATGGAAATGTCCCGTAAAAAGTTCTCACATGATCGGGATGCACGAAAAATAATGCGCGGAAGAAACAATGTCTCATCGAATAATCGAAAGTTATATTAAATGAAGTGTATGGATTACCACTTTGAACGAACATACTTTAAAGTGTATGACGCCCCGGCTGCTACTTGTCGATGATTGTCCATGTGAATTCACTGCATCAATAACTCCAAACAAGCAGGAAAATGAATCTGCAGATGGTCGGATTTTCTCGTAGTTGATCGGGTCTAATACAAAGCGCGATTGATACGAGAGCGATCATGCTTCAGAATTTCCCATTCTTTTTCCAGCCCATCTTGTATACGGATGACAATACACACACACACAAATTTACATGACCCTGTCCTCTCAAAATTGTCCGTGTAATCATTATTGATAAATTTGCATGCATGTCAATCCCAAAATAATGTTATTCTCTAACCGCAAACGCCTCTTTTCTTTTTTTCATTCATTAGAATGAGGGAAATTGGAATTTCACGGGGTTCACTCACACTCCTTCCTTGGCCCTCCCTTGTCTCCAGGTGACACCAATGCAACAATAATTATTTCTTTGAACGCGTCCGGCGGATTGTTACCATCTTTTTGGACGCCCGCCTTTTCTAGATGAGCGAGGGTGTCCAATTAATTTCATTGAATTTCAACTATCCTCATTTACGGAAAAGGATTCTTTTCTTAATGTGTATGACTGTTTCTCCAATTTTAATAAAGTCAACGTGTCGTTGATTTGTAATTAAATTTGTCGATGGTAAAACATTCATTAGAATCGAACACTATAATTGGCTCAATCTCTTTATTAAATGTAAATTCGCCAGAATGCAAATTGAGGATTAAAAAAAGAAAAACATGCTTAATGGGTGTGACAAGAATAATTGTCCTAATAATATCTGCATAATGGAAGTGCCCCGGTGTGACAAAGGTTTGCTCGGCAACTAGTCGAATTCGGGCCTCTTTTCTTAAAGAAAAAAAAAAAAAAAAAAAAGTGTACAACAATATTCCTTGAGATACAACTATGATCTGACACCCGATCGTACCAAATTGTACCAGGTAAAAATATCGTGTGATACGTGTCACCGCTAAAACCGGTTTGAGTTGAAAAATGAAGGATTCGTCTCGACGCAATAACGCATTGTGCGTACAATACAGCACGTACGCACCGCACTGCACGTTCGCGTGTCCACTTCTTTAAAGGAGAATAGGAGGATTTATTACGCAGTGTAGGTGATCTGTTTGTGAACTTTCTTTCGAACCCCTTGACGGACCACACCAAAAGGGAGCGTCACTCGAGTGCCGTGTGAACGTTTCGCGGATTCATCAAACCTTCCCTCTTGCTCCCCTCAACAACAAGCACGGCTGAAGATATTGCAACATCTCAAACAGGATGGCATCGTATCTGCAGAATAAATTACCAAATTCTCAACTTCCTTGTATTCCCCATTGTCGAACTCACCGGATAATATTTCCATTGAGCAGGAAAAGAGTTTCGAAATCGAAAAAAAAGAAAGAAAGAAAGAAAAGGCGATTTGAAACATCCGCTTTTTCCCCTAATTCTTTTTTCTATTCTTTCCCAATTATGTAGATTCTTGTTGGACAGAAAATGTCAATTCGAGTGAGAGAACATTAATCCGTTCAAAATCTTATAAAGTTGGTCGTGATTGGATCACCGAATTGGTTGCAATCAAGCTAACCATTTGTCGTTGGAAGCTCGACAATAATTCGACACATGCATGCATCATTTCTGATACATATCCCGCAGACGGGCGGCAAGGGCATTTGTGTCATGGAAGGATAAAAAATTTTATTCATGCGAGCGTGCACGCATCGAGCACTGAAAGTTCCTATCCCCCCATCCATCCCGCCATCCCTTCATGGCCTCGCCCCCTCTTGTTCTATTCTCGAACTCTGCGCAGGTAAAAATGAAACATCGCATTTACGTAATCGCTTGGTTTCAAGATTAGTAAGCATTCGTGCATAACAATTTGGAGATTGTGCAGATACAGACGCACCACACCTTCATCCTCTCTAATGCTTAATGAGAAAATCGCAGTAGTGAATTTTCGGCAGAGAAAGGACATGTCACGAGATCCCCCCAAAACAAACGTCGTCGATCCAAATAAAGTGGCCCGTGTGCTTGCGTGCTAATACCAGGTTAATAAATTCGTGTTACCCCTGTGACAGGGTTCATTTATCACAATGAATTGCGACTATGTTACACGCATCTGCTATACGTCCGGTGATACGTATTCATTACTTTCCGCCGTTTTCACTGGTTCAAAATAATATATCGACTAACGCGTTAAATCGAAATTTTGTAATTAAACGTATTACAACTTCAATTTTGTTCCCTGCAAAGATACTGGCCCATATTTCCGATCTTTCCGGCTTGATCCTTATTTTATTTTATTTTTGGCATGAAGAGTCCAGGAAAGGGGGCATCGCCATATATGATGATTGAGCGCGAAAGAGGTAGCCTTGCGTAAGCGAAAAAAAAAAAAGTTTTTTTTTTTTTTTTTTAATTTATCCATAAATGATTTTATTATTTATGACCGATGCGCCAAAGTGTGCGTTCTCGAAAAAATGGAAATCCCGGCAGTTACGGCCGAGACTTAAATGGAGGTTACACGCGGTGTTCAAACTTGAAACGAGAATAGAAATTCCTCGGGCACCTCTAGGGACCGATGAACCCACGTCCAAAGAATTCACGGCCAAGTTTACACGCACACATTACACATCACCAAGTCAATGTTTGACAGTAATCACCTATTAATTCTCCATATTTATTGAATTCATTCCGAGTTCCAATTGTCCAGATTTAGAATTTATTAATAATCTAACCCGACATGTTGAAACTTCGAATAGATGTTCGGAACAATTCTCGAAAAAGTTTTAGAACGGCCGATCCGCCTCTGTAAAGAGCTAAGCCGGATTTCCAATCTGGATTCTTTCTTCTTTAAACAACAAAATCACAAAACAGAACGTGCTAAAACTTAAAATGTTTGCGCACAAAGACCTGTGATCCCTTGTTTAAGCAAACACTTGTGTTTCGTCATTAAATCGCGCGGGATATGTCATTTATCATTTTCACAATTGTGTGATTTCTACCACGCATATGTGTGAATTCTGCGTGTGTGTGCGCATTGGATCACCGGGATTACTTGCCTTGGCTACTTGAAAAGAAATGAATGAAAAGTTTTCTTTCTTCAAGGATCCGATCACACGGTATGCACGCTTATTTTCTTTATCTGTCATGCAGTACATCGTGTGTGTTTTACGTAATTGAACTGAAAATCTGCGCGTCCTCTTCATCACATCTTCAGATAAAGTATTCACGTACTGTGTTTGCCCACGGATATAATATCGGTGTCGACAGTGAAATTTCGTGCATTTACCCTTACACAAATAAATGTTTTTATCGATATATACAATAAATAAAAGGTCGTCAACTGATCAAAACTGTAGGTTTTTCAGGACTCGATCAAGGGGTTAAAATAAAGTGTTGGAGAATTAATTATTTTGGGCGACACACGACGCCCCTATGTATTACTAATGGTTAAAAAAGAAGTCAAGATGAAAACCAATTAGAACGAGGGTCATCGAGAGACAATAAGCACACGGCACACAACGATTATCGCATCTTACATCTTGGAACAAGAGTTCATTCATTGTCCTTCAAATGCCCTACATGAAAGCAAGGTTTTACACAAAGGTTAACTATAAAAAACCCATTTTTATACTACGGCGAGTACGCTGTATTCGGTCGACTGATTTTTATTTGCAAACACAATCATCTCATCATAGATGCTATCGATACAATCAACAAGTCAGTGTTCTTATTTTGAACATGATCAATTATCTTCACGTGATAATCGGATTTTACGGACATTCGAACGCGATACTATGTCACGTGTAAACTCCGGTGCATGTGACAAGTTGTTGTTCGTGTTTTTTTCTATATACTGTATTTGTTAAATATACAGTATTTTATGAATCCTTTTTTTTTTTTTTAACCCGCAATAATTCTATCATATTTTATTCATTTATCAATTTTATTATTAATTGTGAAAATGGACTAAAAAAAATCAGTAGTAAAATAAAAGCCTTTTTAATTTTTTTTTAAAAGAAAAAATTATGTTATCAAAATATTTTAAAAAAAGCTTTTATACATACTGTATGTATTGTTTAAAATTTTATTATCGCCCGAATTTTTTTATTCAATAAGTTCCTTATTTTCCTTAACCAAATTTTTCATATCGCACTTTGTAACTTTTTCAGAAAAAAAAAATTCTTTTTAAAAGTGGATTTTATTTTAATGCGCATTATTAAAATAAAAAATAACAAATTTTTTATTTTAGAACTATTAATATTAAACCTTTAAAAAACAATTGTTGCTATATTTAGATTAATTCATCTATTGTTATTTAAATAATATTTTAAATTTGATTTTTTTAAACCCTTGGCCAGGCCAGTACTGTGTATTTATTAATCATATGAAAACCGATTGAAATACATAGGGCAATTGCATCATGGCTAAACTAAAAGCTTGTACTGACACACTCGTCAACAGTTATCAATTCTCAAAAGAGCTTCAACCTTTAAGTGCAACCTTGGGAACAATATTTCGCTCTGAGCTAAGTTTTGGATAAAGACCCTCCTAACTTATCCATCATTGCTAGCAGGTTGTCACTGCTTATTATCTTCCAAGGAACTGAATTCAAGAAACTACAAAAAGGGAAAAGGAAAAATAATAGAAAAGGAGAATATTTATAAATGTGTAAATGCATGACATGAAAAAGAAAAAAGAAAAAAGAAATTTAAAATTGCTTTATGTTCTCCAAAGGACCTCGGCTAGGAAACCTCTTCTCATTAAGAATCAACCCTTCTGGGATATTCTTCTTCTTCCTGATTGTCTGAGGAACTTATCCATCCATGCTCTTAATTATTTTCTTGCAACCGTTTGAGGTACTTATCACCTACTCGGATCTAGCTTATTGCTCAACACTTCCTTTCTTTCAGTCTTGATTTTGTATCCACCTGCGCAGAAGAAGATAGCTAACAGTGGACCCCAGGTTCTTATGTGGCTTTTCAGTCTTGTTGGGTAACTTCCGATATCTTTCAGCAGCCATACCTAGTTAAAGGAATTTTACTGGTATTCATCTTGATTGCGATATCATTACACAATGTTTAGGGAAATGCATTCTCAATCTTAGAGAAGGGTAGTGTTTTATATTCCTCTGTTTTTCGGTCTTACAGCCTGACCGGGATAAGAAAATAATCTCCTTCGTGTACTTTGCCTAACTGGGATAATAAGAAGTTAAAGGCCTCAGCTTAAACAAATAATCACCTTTTCACCACCTAGGGAATTTAGTGCCTATCTTAATGGCCTCATGATTTCTTTGCTTCAGTTACACTTCATTTGAAGAAGTGGAGAATGCGCACCAATAGATTCTCTTTCTTTTATCAATGACATCATTGGAATATGTGAAGTGACCAGTAGGAACTTGTTTACATTCAGTACTAATGTGTTTCGTGTCCACCAATCATATTTTGCAATAGGTTGTGTCACCTAAAATTTAGGATCAAACTATGGTAGGCAAATTTCCCCAGAAAGTTAAAATTTTTGGACAACTTTAAGAGGGAAGATCAGTGGGCAGACACCTTGAAATATGGCTTGATGTTTGCCACCTCCCACTGCTAGAAACCTCTATAGACATGCTTCAA